GGTGCAGTAGTGGAGCTTGGGGTCAAAGTGAAACTGGGACAGCCCCACGCAGGCCGGGAGGATCTGTATCCCCGACAAAACCCAGACACACGAGATGATGGTGATGATGGTTTCGGTGGAGAGCCGGGAGACCATCTCTTTGTGGCAAAAGTTCAAATATCTTTGATCAGGGATGGGGGGTTCGGTTTTCCAGGGAAAATGGAAAGAATTTGTTGGGGGTGGGTGAGAAATCATATAAGTAGGTTGCCCTGATTCATGCATGATTTAAAATCAAATACCATTTTCACCCTTTTTACCCTTACGATTTCAATAAACACACAAGCACAAAATAACAGACTGTCAAGATTCGTACCATAGAACATGTATTCAAATATCTGTAATCGTCATTTGTAATGCTCAGTTCACACGATCAAATTTTCGTCAAACTTGCGTCAAATTTTCGTCGAATTTCCTGTTCAACGCACTATTTAGTGAAACAGAAAAGTACTTTCAAAAAGAAATCTAACGAAAATTCGATCCTACGAACCGAGCATAAAACACATATTTTTTTAATGTACACTGAACTCTCAACAATACTCGCTTTGTGGGACCCAAGCTACGCTCGCGTCAACGTGAAATCTTGTATTTTGTTCTATTACTCTGGCAGAAAGTTTCGGGTCAAATCCCACAGGCGTCTTTGGACCTTCTTGGAGATCTATGCCTGCGCGACATAGCCGCGCTCGTGATTTATTTTATAACAATGCGTACACCGTTTGAACGGTCGTCTGTTGAGATTGTTACAATCACACCATCGCGCCCCTCCCAGCTTCACAGAATACATACATCAACACAAATACAATCGTAACACCGCAACACCAGTGACCGATTCCAAGCAACGCCCCTGAGGCCCTCCACACGTCCCCCTCCCCCCTCCCATCTTACACCATCATGTTCTCTCACCTGTCGACGGAAATGGTTAGTACGGAATTAAGCGACACGTTGAACGCCATCGTGCAGATGAAGCCGTTGAGTTCACAGTGTAGCTCGTTGATGACGGGGTAGTAGCCATAGATCAGACCGAACACGACGGATGGTACGATGTAGCCTGTAGGCATCGGACGACCAGAATTAGCATCATTATAAGTTTAAACAAGGGAGACTTCATATGTGGAATGTGTAGCATGTGTGCAAGGAAGCTCTTGGTCATACCACAACAAATAAAACAAAAAAAAAGATTTGTATTAATAATAAGTCCAAGAACACAAGACATGAAACCAATGAAATAAGATATGACATCACTGAAACAAGACATGAAATCACTGAAATGTGAAAAATATGACATCAATAAACCAATACATGATACCAAATAAATAGACATGACATTACTGATCATGTGTCAGTCACTGGCCATGTGTCTAGACCTTGGACAAGTCTCTAGGCATGGGTACCGTCTCTAGGCTCTGGTCATGCATCTAGGCTCTGGCCATGTGTCTAGGGACTGGTCATGTGTCTAGGCACTGGATATGTGTCTAGGCACTGGTCATGTGTCTAGGCACTGGTCCTTTGTCTAGGCTCTGGTCATGTGTCATGGGTCTAGGTACTAGCCATGTGTCTAGGCACTGGTAATGTGTCTAGGCACTGGTCATGTGTCTAGGCACTATTCATGTGTCTAGGCACGGAGCACGACAACTTGGGTCAATTACATCTCTCTAATGTCACACAGAGCCGCATGATGATGATTACAAGCCCTACCAGATATGACCAGGTCGGCCACAGACAGGTTGACCAGCAGGTAGAAGTGGATGTTGTTCAGGGACCTGCTTTTGTACACGGTGTACACGATCGCCACGTTGCCTAGGATGCCGACGATGATGAGGACGAATCCCGTGATGGTGAGGATGACCTTGGCGGTCTCCGGGATCGGCTCGCCCACGAAACTCCTGTTGAAGAGCATGGCGTCAGAGCGAGGGGCGCGGCGGTAGCCAGGGTGTCTCTTGGGGCAGCCTCTGGGCGGACACCATGACGTGGTAGCTCATCACTGGTGAGAAAACGCTCACTCGGTACAGTTGCACATCTTAAAGATATATTTATATTATATATATATTTATTTAATTTGTAATAAACCAATGAATAACAATAAACACGGGACGAGGATGTCATGGGCGCGATCCAAGGGAAACAACCAAGAAAATTATTCAGAAACATTAAAGTAGTTAGTGTTCTTGGGTCGAGATAAGGGTGACGTATGCTTGAAATAACACTCACAGACACACACAAGCCCGCATGCACGCACGCAAATACACATACACACACATGCAATCAGAAACATATTATTGACTTCTCCTAATATAGGAACTAAAGTTGTAAAGTCAACCGTTACCCTTAAACTTTAAAAGTGGGGAAGATGATTCCATCACTGGGACAATTTGCGGGTTCTTTCACATTTATAAAAGTTCAGCAATTCTGAGATGAAAATAATACTTCAGGTTTGCAAAAGGGATATTAGTTCTTGAAGTTTTCT